GCAACCCCATAGGTGTTTTTTTTTTTTTTTTGTCATGTCTGCAGGGCTCTGAGGCACGACCCCTCTGACTCCCCCCTGCTTAGCGTGCAAGTTGAGAATCACAGTGACAGACTCACTAGGGAGTTCTCCCCCCCTCCCCTGAATGAAGATGGACAGTATAAACAAAGTAACATTAAAAACAGCCCATAACCTCGCCTGGAGCGCTCTCTTGCTCTTTCATGTGTTTATCTTTCACATTCCCTCATTTGACTCCTCTTTTATTCTCCCTCCCTCCCTCCCGTCCACTTGCTCCCTCACGCTACTTTGCTCCCATCATTCCTCGCTCCTCCGTCGTCTTACTCACAAGGCCTCCTCGCCAATTACGCCGCAGAGCAAGCGGGGCCCGTGATTCATGCCGTCGTGTTATTAGTGTGGAATACTGACTCACAGCTGGAGGACAGGACCCAGCCTTGGGCTCCACTGTGCGGTAAAGGTCGCGCCGTGCGTGATGGCCGGTTAACTACCTCAAGTTTATTGCAGTCAACACTTTGCATTTAGCTGCAGCTACAAGTAACCTCTCTGACACCATCCAGATACTGTTCACAGCCGGGCCATAACCATCACAAGGTACTCGGAGCACAGTTTAGAGCACTGGTGCATGACAAAAGTGGCCACTTGGCCTTCTTAGACCTTAAGCCTGTGTGCTATTTTTGGGCAGTGGGGGAGCAGTTAGAGGGATTACGCTGCTGCTGAGAGGGCAACCATTTCTTTCTGACTAAAGATCCGCATGCGGACATGTGTTTAATTGGAGATTCAGTGATTAAAAACAAAACATCTGGTACATACCGTAGTCCTGTTTTTTTTTTTTTTTAACGCCTGTTCTGCACAATCTGACTTATCTGAAAGCTTAAATATCTCTCCTCAAACTCAGCTTCACCTCCTTTATCTGCACCTCCTCCTTTGTGGCTGCTATAGATTTAATTAGGAGGGAATCAGTACGGGATAATGACTTCTACCTGAGTTGACCTCCTCATAAAAAGGTCTCCTGAATATATTGCATATTCAGAGAAGATTTGATAAAAAACACAAAGCAGCCAGACACTCATTTTTTGCACAAGAGTCAAATTCTTAAAGCTCAGTGAAAAGGTGAAAACACTGAGCCGGTAAGGATGACCAAACGTCTACTGCAGCTGTTTGGAGACTGGAAGAGCAACACACAGCTGTCCGCTCCGAGTCTCAGAGGAAGAATTGACAAGCGAGAGCTTCATACACACACAAGGAGGGGCTGTCTTAAACAGATAGCAGCTGGTTTGAAGTGCATTCCTGACCTTGACAACTCCTTGCGGCTTGTTCACACTTGTTCATTAGCCTGTAGCCTTGGTGGAGAAGCAAGTCGTGGTAACCAAGTTGCAAAAGTAATGATTATATAAATCAGGGACATACGTTGGTGAACAGTAGATGGAAGTCAAAGAATAAAAAAATCAAAGCTGGATTCTTCTGTAGTCGTTTTAGTACCGAGATCTAAAGCGCTATGTTTTAAGCGCACAGTTTCCAAACACGCCTATCAGGCCCTTTGCAGCCGATGAGTTTTGGGACTTGGAGTGCCGGAGCTGTAAAGTGTGTCCCCGTTTGTTCCGCAGCCTATACCTGTGTGACAGAATTATTAATGAGCTGTGTCTGTATTTATGCAGCTCATCTAACAAGGGAAGATGGGCTGCCTTCATTACTCTGAGTTGTGGGAGCCGTCCTGTCAGAAGAGATTTGAGCCGCGGCCAAGACGAGCGCTTGTTATAACAAAAGGGGAAATTCATCAAGTGTTAATTTGGTCTGAAATGACAGGTCAAGACAGAGTCGGTCTCCACTCCTCATATATGGAGTCAATGAAGATCATGGATCCTGGAGTGTGTGTGTGTGTGTTAGTGAGTGTGTGTGTGTGTGTGTGTGTGTGTGTGTGTGTGTGTGTGTGTGTGTAAGAGGACACGTTTTCACTCCGTGGTCACTGAGCACCACACTGTGGTACACAGCAGTTATTACCACTTGTTACTGCCATGACAAACTCTGTCTGCTTTATTCATTCACTACCTATGTGGAAAGAATGCTTTGTTGGATTGCTGGGTGTTAATGTGCTCAAGTGTGACCCTTTAATTACTGTAGACAAGTATTGATTTAATATGCATCATACTGACAGCCTAGAAACAGCCAAATATTAGATTAGAATATTCCATTTAAAGTACAACTATAATAACTATATTCATTCTGCTATGTCTGTTTTATCATTGTCAGATTTAGGGCAGATAAATTAAAAAGAAGTCCATGTCGAGAATTTATCAATCTTTTAGAGGTATTTTTTGAAGTTTCATTAGCTCTTTTCATATTGCAATTCTGCAACAGCCCCAAATGTTAAATGAGCTCGTATAGCATAATGAGGCGTTGGATAAGCCATAAGACTTTTCTAAGTAAAGGGCCTGTTTAAGTTATTCTTTGTGAAACACTGTCTTCATCTTAAGCTTTTAAATGCTTGATAATTTATTTAAATGATGATCACAGAAGTCAGCAAGAACTGTTGAATACTGTGGTGACAACTGATATTGAACTAATGCATGAAGGGTTTTTCTTTTTTTAGGAATATTTTCCTGCTGAGAAGTCGTTTACTATCGAGCAGTTTTTACTAGCAAATGTCTGTGTACACTTGAAGTGAAGGAGAGTGAACTAAATAGAAACCAAACAAGGTTTTCATCTCAACTGGAGAAGCAGGTGTTGAAGTAGATTCATTTTTCACTCAAGTCTTTGTTATGATTTTGATCAACAGTGACCCCTTGTGGAGAAAAAAAGGAGATGATTCTACATCAGCTACAGGTTGTGCAAAGACAAAACGTGCAAGAGACACCCAGAGGGTTTTGTTGTAGCACCTTTAGGTTTACGTTTGTTGCTTCTATTTTTGTTGACTGTAACTTCTGTGGATTTTCCCAGAAGGCAATGAAATATGAATGCTTTGTAAGGCCCACCATTGTTATTTTTGATTCTTGTAAGAGAGTTATTTGTACACAAATGAAAACTCTTCTTGACGAAGGCTTTTGAGTCATGTTGCGTGACTCAAAAGTTGCATTTTCATTTGAGGTGTTTTCTTTTTGACAAACTTTTCTTTTCGTCCCACATACACGGAGACAGACAGGTGGTGCCTATTCTTCAGTTTGTATCAGTATCAGAAATATAAAAAGAGAGCGGTGGGAACAAGTCAGCGAAAGTTTAAAACTTGGAGGTGTTAGATATTGTTTCTATTTCTGGGGTTGACACTTTCTGTGGGGTAGACTGTTTGTGTTTGCAGCCAGGAAGTTTGTAAAAGTGTTTCTGAGTTGTTGTTAGACTTTGATAGAGTTCCAATATGCAACAAACATTAACATAGCAGACACCTTGTATATTCTATGTAAATATATAGCTAAGAAATGACTTCCGAAACACTTTTTGGACTTGTTTTCTTCAGTAAGACTTCTTAATAAATCATGGTCGATGTAACAGTCTTATAAAGTTAATCTGGCCGCTCTACATTAGAGCATCAGACTGTCTGTCTGTTTCAAACCTTTACATATCCATCACATTCATATTGAGAATAATACTGCACTAACAATCATTACAATTGTAACAAAAAGTTGTTCTTAAAGAGCAACTTCTGTTTGCATTTGTTATGAGCAGGCCCGTGCACAATCATATATTTCCTATCCCAATATTCATGTACCTTACTTCTCAGCAAACTATTTCCTTGTCTCAAAGGCATTGACATATAATTATATATTATACATATAGTTTCAATTTAACTCGGGGCATGTGGGGTACTGGGATTATTTCGACTTTTGGTTAAGACTAGACATTTTTTAAGTCCATTCGTTATACAAATATAATTCATCACTCAATCAGAGGGTGGCGATAATGCATCTAAAAGCTGTTTGCCACCTGCCAATAAACAGTAGAAGAAGAAGAAGAAGAGAAGAAGCAGTGCCAAGGAGTGAGTGTCCAAGAGATGACTATTGAAGAGATGAGAGAACTTGCAATTGGTCTTCTTGACCGCGAGCCAGGGCTGGTGTATGATGCCCTAAAGACGGATCAGCAGCATGAAGTTTCTGCCCCAGCTGCAGCAGTGGAAAAAGTTACAGTGTGTGTGTGTGTGTGGAAACTGCAGGGACATGTATACATACTTGGAGAGTAAGTGCAGTGGAAAAGAGCCGGCCCACTGCAACAGCAGACTACGGGCATTCTCTGCGTTCTGTCTTGAGGCAGGTGTGCTGCACATTCATAGAGAAGACAGGGAGGACCTCACAGCATGCGGCAGATCAATAGAGCGAGGACAGGACAACGGAGAGTACCGCCATGCTGCATTTCAGAATTTTATCTGTTGGCAACATGGTTTATTAAGGCACAGATACCAGGTGATCATTCCTAGCTGTTGTGTGGTGCAGATCCAGGACAAGTGGCCTTGTTACTTTCGACAGTACACTCGTTATATTCCTGACATATAGCAGTCCTCTTTGACATCTGCAGCAGTCCCTCACTTCTTTCACAAACACCATAAAGGACTGCATGAATCTTAGGGGCATTAAATTCCAAGATTCCAAAGCCATATTTATAAACAACAATGTTTAATATTCACTTTATCTGTAACTCATTTGTTTGAAAGTTCGATTAAAACTGTTTTTTTTAAAGAAGAAAAATAGTCTTACAGTATATGATGACTCAAAACCAAAATCACTATAACTGGGAATTAATTCACCTGTATCACAACAAAATACTTACTGTGCATGTGTTTCACTTTAACCGGTCACCGTGTTAAGTGGTGTATTTCAGACAAATGCATCAGTGGCTGGCCTAGTTACTACAGATGTTAAGGGTGGAAAGTTTCCTAACAGATGCCTGGTTTATATTATTTTATATATTTTTTTTATACTCAGATGTGTCTAAAAAACTAAACAAGAGGCAGTCCTTGTAACTCCAGTTCGGAAGGTGGCGGTAATGCACCTAAAAGCTGCTTGTCTACCACTATTAAACAGTACTAGCAGAAGAAGAAGAAGAAGAAGAAGAAGATGATGAAGAATACAAGAAGCGCTGCAGAGGAGCAAGACATGTCGAATAATAAGGTAAGTAAAGAGACGCATGACAAGCTGGTGAACGGTGAATATATTCGTAATTAGTTTGTAGGAAAATGCAATGCAAACGTGATGAGTAATGTAATTAAAATTGTGTTGTTAAAGAGTTATCACGTTGTTTTGGCTGAGTGCGCAGTACTCGTATTAGCCGCTAGGGACAGCATGAGGTAAACTTTCCCCAGGTGTAAAGAGTTATCCAAAGTTGCGTAAATGTTGGCACTGTAGTTGTCTATACACTTTGGAAACCCCCCTTTGAATCATCTGTTACTTTCACAGCCTGAATGTGAATTTGCTCAAGCTGACGAGGCCAGTGCCAGAGACTGGGACGAAGAGGAAGGAGACTGGGAGGAAGATGAGTAGGAAGGCTGGGATCCTAGCTGAGGAAGAGCGCGTAAAGGCCCTCCGGAAAGAAAGAAAAGAGATGGCAAAGGTTTGTACCATCCTCGTAGTATTGGGTTTAATCACACTTTGTTTGCAGAAATATGTCCCACAGGAAAGCAGTAAGGTGTTAACTGGTAGTTATCCGGCCACCTCACTTCAGGCTTAGAATGGTTTAACTTAGTGTTGGGCGATGTGGCCTAAATTTTATATCACGATATTTTTTTTGCCTAATGTCGATATTCGATATGACTCGATATTTATCGTATTAAATTTATAAATGTAGCCTATAAAACTAAAACTCTACTGTATAAAAAAAATATATCACTGGACCAGGAACATTTTGATTAGAAAAATAACAGTCACCAATTTACTCTTGAACCATTCTGATGCAAAAGTCAATTACAACTTTTATTTCTAATTTATTTCTAATTTAAAAAAATATTGTGTATTTTTCTATATTTATGAGCTCATGTTTATTCACCATGCTGGTAACTGTAAGAGTCTACTTAATCTGATATTAATATGAGGCTGTGATAGAGCTGGAATCTCTCCTTCTTTCTTCTCTGTGAGAAACTCTTCATCCTCAGATCTTTACTTTAGGAGCTCTCTTAAGGGCTAACATGTTTTGTGAATAACTTTAATCTTTACCAGGATCTAGTCTTTAACTTTAACGTGTTCCAGCTCCTCCAGCTGTCTGTCACTGTGGCTCAAACTTTCCTCCGTTTGTTTTCGTCCTGCTGTCACTCTCAACTTTTCCGCTGATTTTATTTTTTTTCCTTTGAATGCTGATTTAAGCTCGGCTTTTGTCGGGATATGATGGTTTTAAAACTGTTTTACCCAACGTGTTTTTTGGTCGAGAAAACCTGCGCTAAAAATCTGTGTGCGAGTTTACAATGAAGCAGTGAAGCCGCCAGCTGAAGGTGCAATCAGCTGTCGGACTCTGTCAATCAGGCCAGCGGGACAGTTATAATGTCGAGCCCTGCGTTATGAGACCCTTTTTTTTGGAAGTAATTCGGCCTCGCTCGCATCTTTCTCTTTCTCCTCCGTGTTGGTCGCTTATAAGAGCGAGGCTACTCAGCGGCAGGAGCAACGAATTATCACGAGAAAACTTTGAAGTAGTTTAAAAAATAAAATCGACGTTCCCTTTTCCATGTCAAGCATCGAATCGAGCTTTACGATATATCGCCCAGCACTAGTTAAATTATGTAAATGGTCCCACTATATTTCTCCATAGTATGAATTAATACTGACTCAGCATCCATAAATTAAAAAATAACATGTGCTTTACAAAACAGTGAAGTTAAATGTGTTGATCTTTTACAGAGGCAGCTTCAAGAGATGTCTACCGAAGAGCTGAGAGAAGTCACAGTTGATCTTTTTGAACGCCAACCAGGGCTGTTGTTTGATGCCCGGAGGATGCGTCAGCAGCGACAAGATTATACACATTGCTCGGCAAAACAAAGGAGCCAGAAGATGACGAGGAAGAGTACCGCCATGCTGCATTTAGGCAGTTCTTTTTATTGGCAACAAGGTGCATTAGAGAAGTCAAACCCCTTCTTTATTGCTAGCTGCTGTGTGTGGCGGATCAGAGACAAGTGGCCTGACTCCTCTGGACAGTATACTCCTTATACACCTGGTAAATAACCGTCTTTCACATCAGCAAAGTTCCTAATTTCTTACACACACAACATGGCTACATGTGTCTTCAGTAGCATTAAAGTAGCCATATATATATGTATATTTTAACCATTTACTTTATTTGTAACTCCAATGCTTGAAATATGTTGATTAAACCTGTTTGCCAAATCAGTGATTTTTGATAATTGTTTGTTTGAAGTAGTTTGAGGTAAGGCGTAAGAGGAGATGAGTATTGGAGCCATCAAACTGTAAAAAAAGAAAGACTAATAAGATAATAGTTTTTAGATAATTAACTATAAAGACAAAGTGAAGTAATGCAGGACCAATTACGTATTATTTGTTAGCACTAGTGACTGCTTCATTCATATTTTATAGAACAAAGCACAAGGTCAAGTAAGTGAACACCTAGACAACAAGGGAGCAATAATTGCAGCTTTATGTGCATTTCGACTATTGGAAGGAGCTCTTGGGCACATCTACATAAAAACTTGAAAAGAAAATGAAATAAGGTATCTCAAGTGGAGCTTAGAGCAAAGATATTAAACAAATCCAAAATCACTGTTGCTGAGAAATAATTCACCTTAACCACCACACGAACACAAGACTAGTTACAGCGCAGGTGTTTGGGTTTAATCTGTTACCGTGTTAACCTAGCCCCAGAGCCAACAATTCCCACTGTAACCACGACAACCACAGTTGCATTTAGCTGAAAGTCGCCAGTTAACATGGTCACCCTCGACACCGTAACATCAAAAACTGAGCGTAAAGCAAAAATCTCCATCTAAATCAAACGTCGGACTGTTGCAGCAGGGGCAGTTTGCTTCTAACCTGCTTTTGTGTTTCACCTGTTTGAAGGTCCTCGGAGCTTCTCTGGCCCAAAGTCGATCTTCTGTCCAGGGTTTCTCCCTGTCCTCTTAATTCCTCTTCTTCCTGCTGACCGTTTGAGATGCATTGGCGTCCTTGACAGTTTACGACTTTGTGCCTTGATTAAAAAAAAGAGGCCCATGTTGTGAATTATTTGCAGCTTCAGCGAGATTTTGTCGTTTGACCCAATACACTCCACTTTTCAGTCCCTTTAATCCTTTCATGTGTTTTTTTTTTTTTCCATTCATCTCCACTGTGGCTGTTCTGATTTCTTATTTCCCGCTTTACTTATAAACAAAGTTGGCCGAACCACTTGAGGTCGGCGTTAGGGGTGTTAGTATCACTTCACCTGCCGTATGTGGCCTAAGTCATACAATTAACCCCTTGTAAGGTAGGCTGTTCCATCATCACGTAGTCAGGTGGACCTGCCCATTTACGACCTGAATTGGCAGGATGTCAAATTAACCCTTTGGAGTTTTGGTGTTGATAATTAAGCTTTCCTGTTTTTCCCTTTTATTTATTGGCCTATTTGTCTCCTCCAGTTTTACGTTTATTAGGTCCAAAGATGTCTTTACCTGAAGCTCCAATTTAGACGTGAATAAGGTTGTCACATTGTCACAATTCATGATTTTTACACCTTTGGATAAGCTACGATTCTGGTAAAAAACAAACGATTGACAACTGTTTTGAAACCACAGAAACCGCAACATCACACAAGTCCTTAAAGCACCCAAGGGTGATTACTTGTTGTTTTTTTTATTACCAAAAATTAAGGAAAACTCATGACACTGTCTGAATTACACACATGGTTGACACAGTGATCTCTCTAGTATAGCTCTTGCAGCTGCTTTTGGTTAAAATATATGGCTGAGGATCTGAAGGTTTTCCAACACTTTGGTTCCTTCTTTATGAATCATTAAAATAAGAGTGTATCGGTTGTACCGTTTTAAAACATGTGGCCAACCTAAGTCGTTTTTATTTCTTCAGGTGTGTTTAATTCTCTTGGAAACAGGCATGCTGGGATACTTCAGCCACATATCACCCTGAAATGAATGGAAATGTATTACAGTACAAAGGTCTCTGAACCTATCTGGTATCTGAATGTGTTTTGTCAAAACAAGCCAAAAACATGTTGTTCTGCTGCTTGTAAGTTCAGACAATAATTTTCAGATAAACAGATAATGATCTTTTATTGCAAAAAGGAGAAAAGAAAACATCCAGTAAGCTGTCCCTCTGAAAAAGATTAGTGAAAGGCACAGTATCCGGGGGAGGTCTGTGTGAATGCTTAATGAACTGAAGAGAAGAAAGCGCCTGTGCATTTAAAATAGCCACGGCTGCTTTCATCGGTTTGATTGTTCACTGTCTATAGAGCAGCATAGGGGCTGCCTGCATGATACTATCTCTACAGTCTGTCTCTCTGATGTTCTGCTTGTGATGAAAAACACACACATTTTACCTAACAACAATATAGAAATAGAATTTGATGCTCCCTTTAAATCTCCTGTTGTCATGCTGCTTGTTCTCCACCAGAGTGCGCAATCTTTCTTTCCAGATTTGGGGTTGCATTCACAGCTGAAGCTCGTTGTCTGCTGTGTGATGCTCATGTGTAGCTGGTAGCAACATGTTTAAAGGATGGGACACTTAGTTTTCCTTCCTAGTTTGAGTATAGTGCCCATTTGAGAGAATGTAATCTTCATGCATCAATATCAAGAACTAAAGTGAGAAAGCTATGAAATATGCAAAAACACCAGAGAGTTTTCTCTGTAAATGAAGAGAATTGAAATAAGCAGAAGAAGATTTTTTACACCTTCAGCTCAACACTAGCCTATCGAATTAGACCGAATCCAAACAAAGGAGTTGTACGGGCTTTGCAGGCCCACTATTAGCAAGGACAGAATGTTTTCTTGCTGTCACAGACTGCTAAGCAGTTGCAGCAGATACGTTTGCAATTACTCAGTGCCAAAAGCATTCCCAGTCTAATGAGCTAAGAGAGGCTGTAAGTCATGGACCAATGAGATGTGATGGCTTGAGCAGATTTATATCCATCATGTAGAAAATCTTCCCCCTGGGCATCGGCAGCATCTCGCCATCCCTCTGCTTTTAAATGAGGGTCATTTGTTAACGCTGGGAGTGTTTCAAATGCCAGTGGAGAATGCAAAGTACTTTAGATTAAGTGCACGCACATCTTTTAGGAGTTCTAGGTATCGTAGAGATGGTAATGATGTGCTTAGTGCTTTGAGGAGTACATAAAGTGCTTAAAAAAAGGGTAGATTCAACTTAAGGAAAATGTCCATTTTAAGTTAACTCTTGCTGTTAGTTTGTCCTCAACCTGCCCTCCTTACACAGGAAAATTCAGCACATGGATTGACCTAAAATATTTAGTTGAACTACCCCTGTGGTGGTGATAACATTGGCTGCTAACGAGAGGCTTTCAAATGATGGAAAGTCACTGTGAAACATTGACTGCACCATGTTTTTTTTTGGGGGGGAGATGTGTTCAACTGTGTCTCAGACATCTTTAGAATATTTATCAGTGGTGTAATAACGAGCTAAAGTCAGTGTTTCAACCTGCAATAGCTTTAACTTTTACTTCTTGAAGCAGAGAAACACTGATATGAACGCAACATTATGATATAATCTGCTTTTTTATAGACATCCAGCAAATGTAAGTCATTTATTTTTCTTTTATCTCCATTTTTGGTCTCCACCAATTCCTGGCAGGGTCAAAACGCTTGCTTAGCTTTTAAATAGTGCGCTATTTTCCATCAAGTATTTGCTATTTGTTTCTTGGTCAGAATCAGAATCAGAATCGTTTTTTATTGCCAAGCACATTTACACATACAAGGAATTTGACTTGGTGTATTGGTGCTAAACAATTAACAAGGAGATAAAGCAGAACTAGCAACAACTTAAATAATACAGTATAAGAAGCTATTACAGTATATTAAATAGAATAAAAAAATGTAAAATATAAAAAATAAACAATAAAAAACACAAAATGTACAAAAGGTGCAATGTAGGAGCTGTGCAGTGGACTATGAGGAAAAAAACAACAGTTCAGCATTCACATTACTCATTTGTGTCATTTGGTGCATGGCAGATATTCTTAAAGCTGTTTTGTCAGAAAACTGCCTTTTTGGGCTGAACACGAGTGAAGTAAAAGACTGACGTGTAAAGTTGAAGGTCAGAAATCCATAAATAAACGAGTTTAAAGACACAACAGAAATCCCTGTATGTCATAAATCTCTGCGTGTAAATCACTTCAGTGACCCCTTTGACATAATGCTTTGTTCAAACGATTTGTTTTTGACATAAAATACTGAGTAGCAGCTTTAAGAGTCATATTTCAGTCACACTCTGGGGATCCGGGCCCTGGTCCCTAACATGAAACCACCCTGAGGCTGTGGTACAGGGGCCCAATGTGATATCTTCTTAAGGGCCCCAGACATCCTGGCGACGCCCCTGATCACAGCAAGTTTGTTCCAGACATTTGTTCTGCAAGTATCTGCTTTGCTGAGTCTGTCCTGATCAAGACATTAAAGCAAGTTTGAAAACTCTGCTTTGATCCTCTGCAGTTCTCTACAAAATCAGAAGAAGTTTGAATACATTGCTGTTAAATTTCCTTTGTGACTGGGAGGACTGTAACTGAAAAGAAGCGCTGCCTTTTTCCAACAACTTCAAGGCTTTTTAAAAAAAACGCTTCACAAAGAAACGTCTGATTGAAAAATCTTTTTATATCTTAAAAACATAAAAGCTCAGGTGTTTATTATGTTTGATGTTCTCTAAAGATCCTTGAGTCTGTTGGAAAAAGGTGAAGTCGTTTGTTATTCCTTATTTGACAGAAATGAATCAAAATATCTGGCACATAAAAGTATGAGTTATGATTAAACCATCCTTACTTTATGTCGTTAGTATTGAATACTTTGATTTTCTGAAGGCGAGTGGTTGTATTTATTCATCATGGACAGCAGATGTCCCCACTTCACTTGCATTGCTGGTGGCTGATGTTTGAAATGCATCCAAACCTTCCTTTTTTTGGTGCTCCAGCAAATTGAACATTGAATGACTTTGACCTTATAAGCAGCGATCATCTTTTCTAGATCTCAGGGTAAAAACATAAAGGCCGTTTTTCATTCTGCTGCAGCTGAGAGCAATATGGATTCAATTTCTGCAATCGACTCTCAGAGTTGTTTGTTTTCCACTGCACACTTCATCCTGGGCCAAAAAAAAAAAGAAGTGTTGTTATTCAACCCACACTACAATAATGTAATATAGTGAAATGAATTGCATAAAATCAACAACCAGGCCGCTTCCCT